GCAGGAGAAAATCTCTCTAGCCCAGGAAGACCCTAGCTTCCTGAAAATCTCCTGCTTTCCCAGATCAGGTTTTAGGTGACAGGGCTGAAGCTTTAACCCGGAGCTTTATTTTTGAAGACAGGGTTATTGGAGCTCCCAGAGGCCAACACTTACCAGATTTGGTTCCGAAGTCCATTCTCAAAACAGACCCTGTGCGTGTGTGTGAGGGGCAATAGGAGTATTAACTCCTTAGGCTAGGGACTATATTCAAGGTCAACTGCGAACTGCTGACAGGAGGATCTTCTCCAAACTGAATACAAGCTATGTCCAATACAACAGATAGGATACCTGTTGAAACCTTTCAGATTTCTCCATAGGGGTAGATTGGGCCTTGTGGCATGGTACCAATTGCTCTAGTAACCTTTTGCCTGGGAATCAGAGGTCATCTCTACCCTCTTTTCTTCCCCCTTTTCTGTCTGGAATTGCCTCTAACCACATACTTCTCACCTATCCAGATGTGCAAAGGCAAAATAGCCCAGACAAGCAGGCAAACACACAAACACCAGGAACACATGTCACATGCACAGGGACCTCGATTTTGTCCAGGGTTTTGCAGACGTTTCCTTATATATAGGCATTTCCTTTTCCAAGTTGTCTTTGTATATTTTAAACTTTGCAAACTGCACTATTCAAACACTGGAACCTACGTAGCAATGCTTTTCTTCCTCTTGATGGACAGCCAGAAGTAGAGAGTGACAAGGCATACTGCAATTGCTCTTATGTGGTGGAAGTCCCATTGTCCCTGTGTAAAGATGGAGAGGCAGGTGGGAATTAAATAATAGAGGAAATGAAGTGTAGGCTTATAGGGAAGGAGATTCCCTTTCTGTCAACAGGAGCCCTCTGCTTTCCTACCTTTTAAATTCCTTAGATCTTTGGATCTCGGCTGGGTCTGTCTGTCCCAGGCTTGTGGAGATTTTAATCTGGGCCTCTTCTACTTTTAAAAGGCTTCTACAAAGTCTTTATATTGTTCACAGCCAAGCATCATAGGCCTTTAGTTACTCTGACTGAAGGAGGCAACTTAAACCTAAAGGCAGAAGAGAATGGGCATCTATTTTCCAGATGAAGACATTGAAGCAAGGACACTATTTGTTCTATCTTCCACAGTAGTAGGACCTAAACTAGCCTTCCATCTCACTGATATTTTAGCTAGACTCATCAATGTCAAGGGCACTTGGGAAAGGGGTATAACTCAACTCTACACAACCCAAAGGCCTGAGGAGCTTTTCACCTGAGGAGGTGAAAAATTATCCCCTGGGATTTTAATGGTCTCAGCCTTACCTGGACATATACCAAACATATCCCCCTTTATTGGTGAGGAAGCTCACAAATCACTCCTTATGGTACAGAAGCAGCCTATTCATGGAAATGTCAAATTGTAACAAGACTAATTCTCAATTCTATGTTGTAATGGGAAACAGGAATATGTAATTGAAATGCAGAGACTTTGAAAACCCGTTAGAATAGGTGGAACCTCTAGTTCCACCAAAGCTTTTAACTAAGGTTGCTTAGAAGTAATTTAGTCAGCTGGGCTGGCAGGAAAGTAGAATGAAAATAACATAGGTCTCAGAGCCAGGAGAACTGCCGTGTACAGACTGACAATTAATCTTCATCTCTCTCAGCTTCAGTTTCTTGCTCTGTGAAATGGGGAGAAGGGGAAGTAGAGGCTGCACCACATGGCTTTTCTAACACTTAGAAATTCAGAATGCTGTGGCTGACTTGAGTTTTCTTCTTGTTTACACTTAGTAAACGGTGGGTATGGAAGGAGTTGGTAATGGTAGTCAAATGACCAATATACAAAAATGAGGAGGGTATTTATAAGCAAAGAAGCCTGAAAAAAATAACATGAGAAATAATACTCTGAATATTTGACAACCAAAAGACATTAAAACTCATTTAGAATAATTTGAATTATTCCAAAGTTCATGTTGCTTCCACAGCATGAAAACTGATTTCATAGTTTTCTTATCACAAAGTAGTGGTCAAGCCTGGCCATAGTAGCTCAGTGTTTGAGCCTGGACCCATGAACTAGGAAATCACAGTTCTATTATGGTCAGGGCACGTGTCAGAGTTGTGGGCTCATGCTCAGTAAGGGGCATGCAGGAGGCAGCCAATCAATGGCTCTCATCATTGATGTTTCTATCTCCTCCCTTCCTCTCTCTGAAATCAATGAAAATATATTTAAAAAAAGAAAATAGTAGCCAATAATATGTATTCTCAAAAGACCAATATGATAATTAAAAGAGATCATGTATATGGAATAACTTTGTAAACAAGAAAACATACAAATCTGAAGGATCACTTTGTTACATTTTATTTTTAAAGGTGGTGCTATCAACATTTAGATCATGGACGGGAAAGACTAACTATTGTGAACATAATGGGTGCATATACTTGATTTTGAATTTGGAACTCTGACCTCTCATCTCAAATCTTATTTTCCTGCCATTGCTTTAAAATCAAGAGGGGGAAAAAAATTAAAAAATAAAATAAAATCAAGAGGAACTGTTGAAGACTATTATGTAAATTTTGTGCTTGTACACACCACCTTTCTTCGCTTCCTTCTTTTCCTTCTTCTTTGCATTTATTTTTCTCAAGCAAGTAACTAGTGATGTCCTCTCAGGACATTTTAGTTGAGAGTAAGTTTTTGCCATGGGCTTCCTGTGCAATTTCAAGGAGACTTTGCTAATGGAATTTTTCTTAGGTCCTTGCTCTGTAAAGCCAGAATGAGCTGATCTTTGGGAAGTGGTGGACATTCTCCAAGTCCTGTGGGTTTTATTTCCTATACATCTCACAAATGTGGCCATTTCTATTCATTTCTGCAAACCTAGTTCAAGGCACTGGCTCTTTTCATCTGGACCACTGTAAATGGTCTCCCTCTTCCACTCTTACTTTCCTAGAGTTAGCTCTGCATTGAGCA